AAAATAGTCATGTGGATTTTAAAGTTTCCTTTTTTTATATAACTCATAGATGAAATAAGATACAAGCATTAAACTATATGGTTGAGGTGTTGCAATGTGCAGGATTTTGTGGACTGCAACCATCCATCGGTAGAATAATCATATACATGTGAGAATATTTACATTCTTATTTGAAAATATGAATTTTTTTTAAATATTTTAAATACATTTTATTGCTGCCAAGTGGATTTTAAGGCCTTGCCTTCATGGAATGTATAAATTAAGGAATTTATACATTTTTAATTCTGTATTCAGGATTTCGGTTTTTCTGTACTTGAAAGAGATGCTCCTTTTTCTACTGATAGATAATTTGTTTGTGATTGACTAAGGACATCCAATCTCATTTTGAAAATTCCACATTAGCAGTATAATTTTGATCTTCTTCCTACATATTTATACATATTACAGGTAAGATATGCTAGCAGCATGGAAGACAGAATTTATTTTTCTAAATGTTAGCTGACGTCACCACTCACAGTTGGCATAGGAATGGATGAATAAAAGCTTCTTTATAAACATGTACTTGAAAGTGGTTTTATTGGTCTCTGACAGCATTTTATCATAGTTTTGTGTGTTTAAGTCTTTATTTGATATATTGATGATAAACATGGGCTAGCAAATACCATGTGGTTCACAGTTTGCTTTAGAAAGCAACTGTTCCAAAGTTTATAGGGCTCTTTGAGGTATCACTGCCCTTGTCCAGAAGGTGATCCCCTGTCTGCTTCTTTTTTCTCATGTGAAGCACAGCTCTGTTTATTCTGGAGAGATCACTGACTTTTCACACACTCATATTTCTCAGAGCTGCTTGTAAAGAATACTTTCACAAGTGTTTCACTTCAGGAACAAGCACATTTGTTTGTTTTTCCTGAATCTCTCACCAGGATGCTTCTAGGAGCAGTGTTGTGGTACAGTAACACTGATGGGAGTGTTTTGCCGCTTTACTCCTCCCACGTGTTCTGTTTGTGTGAAGTTATTCAATCAAAAACACAGACAGTAAGGTCTCTGTGAGTTTGGAGGCCTGTCGTAAGCAGGGACCAAAAATGGAACACTTGTCAGGATCTTACACAAAAAAGTTGGAGACTTCCTGGATCTGAATTCCTGAACAGCAAAAGTGATGTTGGGATTATTCCCTCTGCAGGAAGTCTATAGAAATGGATGTACTCAGATCAGTGAAATTCGCTTTAACACTGAATTTCCCGCTGTTAAAAGGGTGTTAACAGCGTTTTCCAAGGCTAGTTAGATCTGGTGCCACCAGGTGATACTGTGCTAGATGAAGCAATAATGATCACAGGTGTTTCTTTGGAGAAGGTGTATGAATTTGTGGGCAAACCCTGCATTATTTCCGTACTACTTTTTCTCTAGGGTTTTTTTTTGTTGCTGTTTTGTTTGTTTGGTTTGTTTTGCTTATTGGCCTTCTCTGTAGGGGCAAGGTCATGAATTTACTTCTTGTGTTTCAGTTGCACCTGGTAGGACATGATAGCTATCAATAAAATCAGTGTAGGTAGAGTCACATTTATGGAAAGATCCTGACCCTTTATGAAAAATATGGAATGATGGGGAAGAAAATTCAGTTTACTGTTCTAGAAATTAGATAATGCTTGGTAAAAATCAAAACCTGAAAACTTACACCTTATCCAAAATAAGTTGATTTTTTTCAGAGACTATAAATAATTTTCACAGCAGCCTATAATTGACAATCAAGGAAAAATAGACAGTAATTTAATATTGCTAAAATTTTATTTTAAAGATATAGCAATATAGGAAATGGCCATTTACCCCAGCATTTGCCAATCACTCTTAACAGTTCATTTCTATTATGTATTTTTAAAATATTATTTTGTTTTAAGCATTTTTAAGTAACTCTGTTATACATTCTGCCACTTTTTCAGATTCAACTTGCTCAAACCCATTTTTAAACAGTTATATAAAACTTTAATCTCCATTTCCCTATTTATTTTTAATCCTTATAAAATCTTAACCTACCACAGTTCTTATGTGCAATTTTGGCATTAGCAATTACATATATCTTTACTGAATTATTATTAGTTTTAATAGTAGTGGCTCCCAGCTGCTACAGTCGCCTTTTGTAAGTTTTTTCTCGTCACAGTGTTGGGATATGATTCAATTTCAGCTTTTCATTTGTAGTAAGAAGGTGCTTGTCAGGAGCACAGGGAAGGGCTCTGCCTGTTGTATCTTCTATCATAAGGCAATTCCAAAAAACATAGGGACAAGATAAAATGTGTCCCTTTCTTTGCTGATTAAAATTGTCAGTTCTTATATGCCTACCCTCTATTTCTTAGTGCAAGACGCCAACCTTCTGCCTTGGGTTCTGTCATGCTATTGTCAATGAAGGAAAGACAGAAGGGAAGAAACACCTGTGACCTGTTGAAAACCCCATTTAAATCAGATACTTAATCCTTGACTTCTCAACTAGTATCGAATTTTCAACTCTTTCATTCAAATAGTATTCAGAAACTAATTATTTTTGACTGTGATTTTTTTTAGAATAAGGTAATAAATAATGTAGCAAAACATGAGGGCAGGTTCTGATAGGTCTCTACTTTTAAATATCAACTTATTTATTTATTTATCTGTTAGTACTTTCCAGTTTATCTAACAATATAAACAATTCCAGAACTATACAAGTAATCATCCAGCTGGGAGAAATATGAATGTGAATTTTTCTGTAAAGACAGTGTGAATCTGTGGTAACATACAGCCCATTTTTCTTTGTAAATTAAAAGATACACAATTTTGCCACTAATAAATAATTAAACATGATATCCATGAAGTGCTCAGACATCAGATTTCAGCTTGACTTTTTCGTAGTTTCAGGAACTGTTTAGAGCAAGAAGGCAGAGGTTTTGTTTTATGTACACACATATACATGCATGTGTACAAATGTGTAAATACGTAGTTATTAGCCTTAATTTGGGTTGAAAAATATAGACTAATACAACTAAAGAAACTAATCTTATTTTGTGTGTCACTTTACATATTCATGTGACCTCTTTTTGAGTGAATAACCTTGCACACCTAGCATGCTCTTTGCATTACTGTGAATAGAAATAGTCTGTCTTCTCAGTCGAAAATAAAAATAAAATTATAGTTAAAATGTTCCTTATGTGGGTCTGAAGGTCTTTGCTACATTTAGGAGTGTCACAGTGTAGTCTTGAGGAATTAAAATATATTGCTACATAAGGGCCTCAGTGGCCTGTCAAGATTCTCCCATTTTCTAATCAACTGGGACAGCTTTTTCTTTAGGTTTACTGGAATAAACTGTTATTCTTGCAAAGCATGTGATTCATGAAACATATGGGGGGCAAACACAATTTTTTAAAGCAATTTATTTTAAATAATAAAAATTATAGCAGTGGTATGTTAATTAGAGAGGTTTCAGTGTTAGCAGATGTACTGAGAAAAGTCATTTAGTGGGAAAAGTGTAAGCAAAGCAATTAAATTTGCATAAGAAATGCAGGAGAATAACACAAGTCTAGAGATAACTTTATGGGCTTTATATGTGATATGCATACATCTTCTAGAGTGTGTATATGCATATTTTAAGACTCAAAAATTTAAGAACCAGGTGACTCAGCTCGGTAACTGAAGAGAGAAATATGTCATGAATTAAAATGAGACACTTTACTGAGGTAGTGTGCACTTGTGTTTGTTTTCTTTTGCATACTGTGTAGCCAGCTAAGGATATTGTTTTCTTCAGGACCATTGATCCATTATCTTTCACATCCGTGACTCCAAAATCCATAATTATCAGTAAGGACTGAAGCACCTAAATAATACAATTTTTGGAAGTCTACGAACAATTACTTTTAAAAGTTCTTTGAGGTCCTCAATAAGTAAAATTTACATTTTTGAGATGACAGATGTCAAACTAAAAGGATCTTGGTCCCACACTAGGAATCCTCTGTGATGTGACAAAACTACCTTATGCTCACGAAACCACAAATAATTGATATCTTAAATTTTCCCTTTTCTAATGGACATGCAGGTGATCTAGTGTTTGGAGTTTAGCTAAAAGAAGCTTTCACAGATCTTCCTGCTCCAAAGCACACTTTTAGTATTACTTTTTTATCAGTGATCTATCAAATCATAAATATAGAGAATTTATATAAGCAGCCAATTTTTTTGTCACCTTATATGTCAATATGTTTCCAAATGCCATGGGCAACAAAGTTTTCTCAGAACCAAAACATTCTGGGATGTCTTTACATTTGGTGTGTGCATGTGCTTTTAGAATAGGGTGTCTATTTCATATTTTTCCAGATTAAAAACAAAACAAAAAATTCATAGCTTCCTGAAGAGGTATCTTGCTGGTTTTGATTTTGGTTGTTTGTTTTGGGGTGGGGTTTTTGTGTTTGTTTGTTTGTTTGTTTGTTTTAAGAAATATTAATGTATTAAATACCTTTCAAATTATAGAATTCCAAATTATACTTGTTACTTTAAAGAGAAAGGTTTTAGTATAATGTTGAAAGTGCAGAGTTGACATAGTTGTTTTGTGTTGCAATCTAAGGAATTGTGTCTATTACACAAATCATTACTTAATGGACACCTTGAAATGATTTAGTATTCTAGATGTGGCATGCATGGAATTTCTATAATGGAGGACAGTTTTTAAAAAGGCGTGATGATTTAAAATGAAAGGGCTAGCACTAAAATCTCAGTAACAGCATAATCTCAGGATACTATTGTATTTCCTATCGTCATTTCTTTGGAGAGTAGAAGAAAAGTTTGTGCACTTTTGCATGGATTAATTTCAATACCTCCCATTTCAAACAGACAAGTGGAGTGAGTGATCTGTATCAGAAACCTCAAATGTTCCCTGCATTTGTTGTTGGAAGTTACTTTTGATTGTTTCTGGGTTATGAACTGGAAATTGCATTAAGTTTTAAGTATGTCTAGTGTTAAGAAACTAAAGGAAGCATTCTGTTGTATATCTATACTAGCAAACAGTTCGTGAAGATACAACTTTTGTGATGACTGAAACTATGACTGTGGAAACCACTCATGTGCCTTCTACGTACCTGGCAGAGATCCATCACCTTCTGCAAGCCTTGTCTGAAGTAGAAGAGCGCCTTAATTCTCCTGTTCTGCAGGCTAAGGATTGTGAGGATCTCTTCAAACAAGAAGAGTGTCTCAAGGTAAGATAGAAAGATTTCCTTAACAGTGATTGAATTCCATCATTTTTGGGCAGCCTGCACTCATTGTGAGACATCTGTTTTGCAAGTGCTAAGCCTCTCTCTGTGATGTGTGCATATATGGATTTTTATATATGAGGGCCCATTGTTGCAAAATACGAGAACACTGAAGTGTTTATTTATTTTTATCTGTTTCACCTCTGTTGGGAGGACAAAAGCATTAGGGTATCTGCAAAGTACGTCCTTGAATGGGAGAGAGAGAATGAAGAGGGACAGTTGTATATTTAAAGACAGAATTTTTAGTCAAAGATCTGTTTGTATAAATAGAAAAAATTTCTTCACCGAAATAGTTATTAGACCTTAGAACAGGCTGCCCAGGGAAGTGTCTGAATCACCATCTTTAGGGGTATTTAGAAAATGTGTAGATGTGGCTGTTAGAGACATGGCTCAGTGATGGATTTGGCAGTGCAGGGTTAATGCTAGGACTCAATTTAGATCTTTGCCAACATAAATGATTTTATGATTCTATGATTGGTAAGTTAAAGTGATTACTAAGTAACCCTGTCCACACCCAATTTTGGCTGTGGACAAGGAACAAAACCAAGTAAGATTTAGCTGTTGCATTCCATGTTAGACCAAAAAAGCTTGAAGTCTTATTGGGTCTGTACTCTATGTAGTTATTATAATTTAATTAGCTAAAAAGAGAATATTGGCCAATAGGTAGATAATGTAGTTAAGAAAAAGCTAATTCAGTATTGTTAGTATGACTTTAAATCCTACTGTTTGGTTTCTTCAATGCTTGCAACAGTGAAATCCCTTGAAACTGGTGGAATTTTTCCAACACAGAATTGACATAAGAAGAGAGTAAGATTAAAGTTGTAAGCCTAAGTACATGAATGAGTTATCAGCTCTTGCAGAATAATGTTTGTATGAGGAAAGCCTTGTAAAAAAATCACGCTCAAGTGCTGCATATAATTACAGCAATTCCAAATTGTCATCCAGCATGAAGGGAAGACTACATTTCCATTTTTTTTGTGATTATTTTGGGAAAGAAAAGTTTTTATAAAAAGTAAATATTAGCCTAAAGAGACTGGAATTTGCCTACAGTCAGCTATAAGAAAGAAGCTTGGAGAGAGAATCAGGGCAGTGGCTCTGTCTATGTTCTCTGGATTTTCCTCTGTAGAAGCACATTTATCTTTCCACATCAGAGGAAATGTAATAAAACCACATCCATGTGCTGCTATTAGCTTCTGTAAAATCCCATCTATTTATAAATCGTATACATTCACAGATCTAATACATTTCAGGCATCTCTATAGAGACACATGCAGGCACACAAATATTCTTATTAGCTGTTGAAAATCAGGGTGTTCTCAGTTTCCTAACAGGGCAGTATCGTATGTGTAGTGAAGCATAACAGTGAAGTATTGGGTCAAAGGAAGCATACAACTGATAATAGGGTGCTGTGAAATATCAGTAGGGCATTTCTTTTTACCAGTTCTGATTTAGTACCAGTAGATTAAAGTAATTCTGAGTATTGAAACACACAGCATGCCAGTTCTATTATAATTTTTCACTTTAAACAATAGCTTCTGCACAAAAAAGCTCATGGACCATGCAAATCATGGCTAATGAGCCCCTACTTGGTCCTTATTGATGAACCTACATTCCCTAATAGATTGGATGGAGAAACAGCGACCTAACTCAAGCAGTTTACTGGCAACTGATTTCCTGTTCTTCTCAATGCTTTACATTTGGGCTAGCTTTATCTGATTTATATGCATAACTAATCTGTTGTTCACCCACGTATATTTGGTATTATTAGGGTTGACACCAACTTTAATAATATTGATTACTGAGGTTACAAGTTACTACTGCCATAGGCTTAATTTAACTGAACTATTAAATTGTTATGAGATGCATTTGTGGGCACAGTTCCATCTTCCTCCCAAATAAATCTCTTAGAAGAGGCAAATGGGTCTTGCACATTCGTGGGCTTTTGGAAGGATATAGTTTTGATCTGAGCCTGCTTAATGAATATTTATTTCCGAGGAAAAGCATCCATCATTGTCATTATCCTGCAGTAAAAATAGAAAAGTAGTGCATAAATTGTTCAGCAGCTGGTTGGGAAAGGTTTGGAATTAAATTGTGGTTGTTTTTTTTTTTTCCTGACAGATTTGCATGAATCAAATTACAGAACTGTCATAAATAGCTCTGTGTTTTAAAACTGAGCTTTTGCTTTTTTTCACTCCCATTCAGAAAGAATCCATTTTAATTAATCCTTTAAAGGAAAAAATAAGGTTATTTACAAGAATCAGTGGTAACATAATTGAATATTTTTCTCCAAAGTAAAAATGATTGCTCATTATCAAATAGGATAAATATTGAATACAAATTAAAAATTGCTGGTATTAAATGTCAGATAATTTGAGCACTGACTTTTTATATCAAAGGCATGTGAAATACTAAAAAGTGAGATCTTACAGCAAAAATGTGATAGGTTCTAACTTTTAGTAAATTGCAATGCTTTTATGAGCACATTTAGAAAATCTGCTGAAACTTAGGAATGTTGTTCTCTTCATTTTAAGCTTTAGGGAGTAGAAAAATCAGAGAAACCAAGTCTCATCACTTTATCTTATAAAGCCAGCATTGCAGTGTTTTCACTGTCCTATTACAAGCTGTTTACATATGAGGACATACAGTACTTCAGTTTATCTTCACCACAATATTTACAGTATTTAACAAGCCATTTTAAATATTACAGTTCTGTCAAAGATGAAACTCAAGCTGATTGTATGGAAAAGTATGGTTCATAGATGATGAACCATACATAATAAATCAAATAAATTTAAATAATACATGAATACATTTGGACTGATATACTGAAGATAGTACAACTTGTGTTATAAGCACAAACGTTATGATATTTTGTCTCCTACTGATGATGTTCATATTGATGGAATTCACAATCTTTGAGTTATCCATATGGAATTGATTGTAACTACAATGGATTTCATTACATGATCAAATACAGGGAAAAAGTGTCTTCAGAATTTAGCTAATTATCCTCCCTTGCAATGGACATTTCAAATGTTAAACGAAAGTAAGAATTTGCATACATTCAACCTAATCTGGTTATATTACTCACACTAAGAGAAAGTTTTCCTGTGTATTGATTATCTCATGCAAGCTACTTGACGTCATCAAGCTCCAGATTGTTTCATGAGAGATGTATACACTGAAATAAATACATTCATTAACCAGAGAATTAAAACCAACACATATTTCTGTTTGCTAATACATAGGAAAAGTGTGTGCACTAAAGTGAAACAGGATACCTGGACTTTAAGAAGTCTAATTTGCATTTATAGCCGTATGTGAGAAAGTGCTTAGTAGAATTTCATGGTAAGAGTCACTGTCATAGTCATGGCATACTTGTGCCTGTTCATTACTTAATTCTATTAACTGTGGATTCAAAACTTATTTTCTGAAGCTACTTGCTTTATATAAATAATGCTGCAAACCTGCAGTAATGCACATACATATTAGCGTTTCTTTTTATACTTTTTTTAATATTATTTATTTTGGTGGGAGCATCTTATTGTAGAACATGATTATACATTTAGCTATAATATTTTTCAATGATGTAATAGTTTTAATATGGAAAGCCATCTGGCTCTTTGAGAAAGAGATTTCTTATATATGTAACCTCTTACATAGTCACTCTCACAATTCTTTATCTAGTTCATCTTTTTGTATATTTCCTGTATGGTCTTTATTTAGTTCATTAAAAATTGGTTGTTTTCTGTCCTTGTTTTAAAAATATAGGTATTTTAATGTTCTGACTTTTATTTTTATTTTCCTTTATTTGGTAATTCTTCATTTAGAAGACAGAACAGGTTTTTTGCAGTTTTCTACTGTGTCTTATTTCAAAATATAGGGGTTTTACTGTGCACTTTACACATCTATGATTCTGGAAGCTAATATCCCCATTCAAAATGTTTCTTTAAACCACTAATACCCATAGCAGATATTGTAACTCATACAGATTTTAAAATTGTAATTAATTTGTGGAAGTTTTCCAGTTATGCATGATCACTAACAACTGTGCTGTTACTGGTTTTCATGTCGGTGAAAAAAGCATGGAATATTGTAATGAATCTGCTATGCATATAATTATAAAACATTATTCTACAAATGTTTGGAATTACTAAAAAATGTATTCTTAACTTTGCACACTGGAATATGTATATGGTGTGTATTAAGCGATTCTTATCCAGAAAAATCACATAACATGAAATTCAGAGTGGCTTTCTGCTGCAGCTCAATAAAACCCAATTAACCATAACTTAGAACTGAGTGTGCTCAAATGCACTCTCCAAATAGATCTGTCAGTAACGCTGTGCTTGGTGACAGATTCGTACACAAATAGCCAAGGAACTGAATTTTACAGAAAGTTGTCTTTTTCTGGCAGATTAAGATAAATTCCAGGTAGTGAAAATGAACTGATGTTTAAGTCTCTAGCACTCAGATTTCTCTTTTAAGAGCAATGAGATGGATCGTTCCCTAAAGGCTACTGTCACTTCAGCTGCTAATGATTTTCTGTTATCCTTTTTTTCTAAAAAATTAAAGCTTTGTGCACTTCTGTTAACCATGTTACACAATCTCCCAAGACATTGTTGATAACCAACTGCTTGAAGCAATTCTCTTCAACATGAAAGATGGGCTATGTGTGTGAGATACACGGGTATGTGCATACACGTATATACATAATCTCTCTTTTCTTTTCTTTTTTTTTTTCTTTTTTTTTTCTCTTGGACATACTTCTTTGCAGAACATTAGCTGTATTATCTTGCTTTGTCCGTAGCAGCTGTGCTTTAAAGGAAAGCAAAATTGTGACACAGAAACTGTATATACCTCCATACAATATAGAAATTGTATACCATAGACCACTAGCTTTAAACATTAAGGGATATGTCACTTATCGATTCTGAAATGCATAGATGTATTTAATCTATTTTAAATATTTAGAAAACTTATCTTCTTGATTAAAAAAACATTCAATTTGAACATACATAGGCACATATATATTCTTCATTCTAAAACATGTCAAACGCAGTAAGTGTCCTACTAAGAAGGCTACTCAACTTGAATGCTTAAGTAAGTCCTGGCACCTTTTAACATTTTCTCTTGTTTTTCAAATATGTAAATTTTTAGTAATTGATGAGGTTTTGTGAAGATGCTTCCTCCTTTATATTCAAGGCAATCTTGGAAGATTTGGAGTCATTTTATGTTTTTATCCTCTGATATTTCTTATATTCAGAATAATAACATTAAATACCTGAATCATCCGTGGCCCAAGTGTGTAAAACAAAGCTTTAGGTAGACCTGGGTAAGGAATGCTGAGTGTGAGGCATTATGCTGGGAAAGTCAAATGAGGTTTGTTGAGTAATGACACAGACCCAGCCAGCTTTCACTCTACATGATGGATTGCTGACAAGGAAGAAACATGTTCCTTATTGTGAATCATTCCAGAAAGAAGACATCTATAATTCCCCTTTTATTTATAAGTATTCATTTAGTCTTCTAAATGTAAGTCACATTTCTCAAGACCTATACATTCTAATTACTACTCACAAGAGGCTTTATGGAATGTTACTTTATCCTTCCCTAATCGTGGACGGGGAAGTGCTTCAGTTTAGTTCAAACTGTCCATGAAGTCTGTCTGGTTTATAACAGCCTTCTAAGACTAACAACTTCTTCCTAATAGCTACACACATCTCTGCAGCAACTTTGTGTATACTAGATTTTATACATTGAAGGTTCCTAGTAGAGTAACACTTTAAAATCTGCATCAAAACTAGTATTGTTAGATGCAGATTCTAAATGTTTGGATAGAGTGTTCAGTAAATTAAAACAAATTGAAAATGACTAAGTAGTTTTATTAAAACCGGTAAAAAGGAATGAAAAATGAAAAAAAAAATCAGCAGTGCCCAACAATGAAGAAGAGCAATGGTAGGAAAATAGTGGTAGATGGGTAAAATATAAGGCATAGTAAAAGAATTATATCAGTTGTTACATGTGGTTATTGTTATTATCATCGATGTTATTGCATCATTAACATTTTCCACTGCTTTCTTTTGCTTATGAACAATTATTTGTTATTTATAAAAGCAGTGTCTTGGTTTTATTTTTTGAAATCTTGATATTTATTACAGAGCATTAAAGATAGCCTGGGGAGACTGCAGGGTCGTGTAGAAATTATTCACAGTAAGAAGACACCGGCTTTGCAAAGTACTACACCAAAGGAAGCAGCAAATATACAAGAAAAACTGACTCAACTGAATTCTCAATGGGACAAAGTTAACAAGATGTACAGGGAGCGGCAGGCGTAAGTAACTTTTAAAAATTGCTCTTTCCGATGGCATCCATGAATATTTTTCCTACTGTTGATGATTGTTTTCTAATCTTCTTTTTGTGGGGATACCTTTTAAAGTCGCAAACAATATTTGAGAGTTAACAAATAAGTTTGCTTTAGATAAGAACACATGGTTTCAAGCATTTATTGAATTACCACAGAAAAGTCTTTGACAATTCTTCTGAGAATGTAGGACATTAATCTGATAATGAAATTTATTACATATATGACTAGTTCCATTAATTTAAATAATGTCTGTTCATAGGAATTTTACAAAATTGGCTCTTCAGACAATGCTGAAAACTTGACATTAAAAGTTTCATTTAATATGCTACCTCAAAAGACAATAGATATCAAGTGTCAAATAGATTGATATTTTCTAGAATATCACTTCTTGTGCTACATGTTTAGAAATATCCCTTATCTGATACAATATTCTTATATGCATTATAATTATTCTATAAAAAATTAACTGAATGTCCAAATAATTATTGTGCTGTATAGTAGGATGAGATAGGATTCTAAATGTGTAAACCGTAACTAGAAGAAAAAAAAAAACAACCAAAACTTCACATGGGTTTAACCTGAACTGATTTTGTCCTACAATCCAATCCTTGGTAACTTTTATGGGGTTTTGTTGTTTAGAAATATTGTTAAACAGCTGTCACCTGGCAGATTTATACAGACATATTATTTTCCACTGCCAGCCAGTCACTAGCTTTGATTTCAGATTACTGGAAAGAGAAGAGAGTAAAGCTTAAGTAATAATCAGAGAGAATTATAATAAAAAATCTAATTCAGTAATCTTCATGTCACAAAAAAAAAAATCAAAGGATAAGTTAGAAACAGAGACTGAAAAAAAGCTTCTCACACAGATAATTAAGATTGGGGATATTTGGCTGCTATGCTTTTCCCAGAGACTGGATTTGCCCAAACTCCTATTTCTTTGGTAGACCAAGCTCTGAGAAACCTGTGGAATCTTCTTTTCTTAGGAACTGGCTTTGCCCAATCTGTAACTGTTTTAGCAGACCAGTCTCTGAGAAACCTTTGGAATCTCCTCAGATGCATTTTCTGCCACTGGTACATAGCAGGGAGAGGACTTTACTGTTAGCTGAAGGTTTGGGCTACATCTCTGACACTCAGTTATTCCTTATTTAGACTGTAGTGGTATTAAGCCAGCAGCAGAAAGTCTTGTGAGGTGAAATGAATTAGTGTTTGTCAAGTATTTTGAGGTCATCAAATAAAGGGTCTAGAGAACTGTAAAGTATGATTACTGTCCAGCTGGCTTTTGCCTGGGGGAGTTATCCTCTGTTACTATGATGGACAGCAATTCAAGCTTGGCTGCTGTCTGGAATCACACACCTTTCTTTTTCTTTAAAATCTTTTGTTTGTGGTGTCAGTCTAACTGTGTCACTGTTTCAAAGGTTTTTCTTGAACTCCAGATGATCCCTGTAGCTTCTGCTGTTTTGTGAGGTGTGTTTGGACTGTACACAAATTCTGGGGAGGAGGTGAAGGAAGACAATATGGCCTTTAGCATTTTACTTCTAGCAGTTTGTGACTGTAAGGGGTGAAAATATCAGTGTAAGTCTACCCTTGGGACATGGATGAATCTGTGTTTATGAGATATGCTATTGATGATGATGTTTTAGGACAGTTTGGGGATTATTATTGGAGCTGTCTTGCTTTCAAGGGAGCGTGTCTAAGTGAATGTGAGTATTCAATGTTTGAAAGGTTACAGAAACAAATATACTTGTAACTATGTTTGTTTCTGAATATTGCTTTTAGGAAATCAAAGGCTTGTAATAACATGGAAATTATTATTTAAGTAAATAAAAAATCAAGTGTCATGATGACAGATGGAAGAACAAAACGCTTTTCCTTACCTCTGTAATTACTAGAAGAGAGCTTACTCTAAATCTCACACAAACCATTAGAAAAGCGTTGAATTCTTTTGTGTGAAATAGATTTCCTGGAAGTTCTGACTCATATCTAGATACTTTGTAATTAACTTTGTAGTGAGTTCCTAATAATTAGAAATCAAAATAGATTTTTAGTTTGTTTTATAGCAGAGCGCACACCAGTTTGACAGGAAGACATTGTGATGGTAAGCACTCAAATAGCTTTATGAGTCCAGTTTTTCTGCAGTATTTGAAAACCTTATTTCACATTGTCATTTTAGCATGTTTCCTGCATTTGAATAGGAGTTCATACTGTACTTACTGTAAGATAACACACAATATTTAACTGGAAGAGTATAAGCAAAAATGCTGTGATCGTCTTAGAGTACTCTTTCAGTGATTTTAGAAACCTAGGATGAATGCAAATATTTACCCTTTCACAAATTTGTATAAATACTAATCTTCAGCTTACTAATTTTTAAACTGAAGCTTAGATCTAGCATGGTTCTTATTTAGGAGCGAGATTCTTTTCTGTTGTGTTTCCAACAGATAAGTGGGAGTGACATCATCTTATACCAAGTGGAATTTGTTTCCTTCATTTCAGTTTTCTGAGTGCATAGCAAACTCCAGGGAACAGCGATGGCATGATTTGTCTTTTGTGAGCTAAGGAGTAATTTATGATTTAATTTATAGCTTCAACCTTTGCTTTCATGATGCTAAATTTCTATGTTATCTTTTCCAACAGATGTATTAAGGTAATGCAATCTGAGTTTGAGAGGTAAAGTTTCAGTCCTAGTAAGAATAACCATTCAGATGCCATAATTTGTCCTGTACTTTTACCAGATTTTCACAATAGTCTTCCTTCTCGGCAGCAATCTCAGATACTTGTTTTTTTGTATTGATCGTGACTGTTTAGGAAGGGACAGTAACACCAGGTCCCAATATATCTTAGGTGAGAACACATAATATTGGAGGGGGAAGAAGATAGTAAAAGATAGTCTTTTAATTTACTGTCTTATATAACTTTTTATCTTATCAACCTACCACTTGTGGAAGATTTTGTTTGTTTTCTCAGAATATTGTCTTCCCAGGATATTTATGCCTGTGTCTTGCTTCTGTGAACAACACATGCACCCTAAAAGTAACCTTTCTAACACTTCCAGAAATCGTTGAATCAATAAAGTACAACAAAGTTTTTCAGAGTAGATGTTGTTTTAAAATATTTCTATAGCATATGCAAATCACTCACAGAGAATGTAAAAAGAAAAAAAAAAAAAGAACTATGCAGAAAAAATTAGAAAAAAGTAGAATATAATTTAAAAGCAAAATACTAGAGACTTACAAGTATTGCAGACCTTGAATATTTTTGAATCTATTTCTTGATCAGGAATTAAAATTCTAGTGGATCTCTCATATTAGTGTTGGACAACTGATTTTTGTCTTTTTCGTGTCGTATTTAAGAATTACCTTCCAGGGCATGCATTATGGACTACATTAATGCTCACCTAATTAATCTAAAATCCATTAAAAATTAAACGCTGTGAGACAATGAGGAAAAGTTGATATCATATATCTTTACAAAGTGTTTCTTGATAATTCTGAAAAGTGGAAAAAAGTGATATGCCAGTCTTATATCAGAAAATATTGCAAATCCATAATAATGATAATAATAAGAGATTGATGGCTTTATAAAACTTACAGACAACTAGTAATTTTTATAGTAATAAGAACAAACCATAAAGAACTAGTAAATAGGCTTATACTAAGAATTATTTTAATTTTTGAACAACAGTACAACTGTCAACTATTTCTGAATAACCTTAAATTAGCTTGGTAAAGGCTAATGGAAAGCATTTATTAGACATAAAGAATCAATTCATTGTCAGAGAAATAATATTTTGTGGTTATATTTCTAACACCACATAGTAGCAAATTTCATAATCCCTTACTGATATATTCTGTTGAGAACTAACCCCATTCATGGATCAAGATTTTAGGGAAAAGAAATGCAATACATGAATTTTTCAAATGTAAGTAACCTGCCTATGTTCTGTATCAGTGCAGAACCAGTAAGCCTTGAGAACGTGCCTGTCTGGTGTCTGAATCATACCCAGCCTTTGTGCTCTGCTTGCTTAGTAGAAAGTATGTAGATATAATACAAAGACAGTTGCATTCAACCCAAGTGAGGTATTAAGAGTATAGTTATCTTTTCATAATATGAGACATCTTCTGTCATTGAAGGTATGAGTCATCTTACCTACCTTTAACCATCCAAGTTTTAGTTATCTATTTTATAGTACTTGTCTGTGTTCTTTTTCAATTAAATACTCCCCGGCAATTCTTTGGCAAGTAGCTGTTGAACTATGTAGTAGGTCCACTGACTCTTCAGGAAGACCAGACAAGATAAGATTAGACACATTACTTTTAGATAGATAAAGTTCGGGGAGATTAGTCTTAACCTAGGAAATATAACAAAACAATGCAGTTTAATTTATATCTAAACATGTTTTTATATATCTCTTTCACTAAGTCCAGTCAGCATTTCTTTGCTCCTTGCCTTAACTCTGACAAAGCGAATGACAAAAATTAGGATTAACTGGCTTTGTTTCAGTAGAGGGAGAAAAGCAACTAGTGGAAGGCCTAGGTATTTTGAGAGAAAGTCAGAAATAGTGGCTGCTCTCTTACCTAAAAGAATTCACCCATATATTTCTGTTGAGGTTGTAAGTCGTGTTACTAAAATTACCCTTGGCTCAGGATTCAAGGTGAAAGTGAAAACCAGAACAGATTAGTTCATCCCCAATGAGAGAAGGAAATTACTCCTTTCTAATGTAAATCTCAAAATAGCTACCATGCCTTAGTTACATGCAGGGTAGGAGTTTTTTCCTTGCTTTCTTTCACAGTGACTCAAATTACTCATTTGGATTTTGAAAAGGGCAGCTTATAACGCTTGACTCTTGCAGCCAACATGAGTTGGTAATTTATTTCCATACCCTGCTTACTGTATAGAAATGCTCTCCATAGCAGTCATTTTATAATCAAAATCTTACAACAGATTTGCCACTCAATTTGACCCCA